CCGAGGTGGTGCTGCGGCCACATTCATAAGCATATCTCGGCAACCACATGCTGGTTTCGGCTGCATGATGACTCGCGCGACAGCCGGGAACCGTGGAAACACAGCAATATTGGTTTATGCCCATTGGAGGTGCTTGAGGAAAGTTTCGCGCGGTGTAGTAAATAAGGGCATATTTACGACACCGCCGAGGTGGTGTTGCGGCCACATTCTTGGGCCCATCTCGGGAACCACGTGTTGGTTTGGGCCGAAGGGCGGCTTGTGCGATAGCTGAGAGCCCTGAGAACACAGCTCAATCAATTTCGTTCGTATTGGGGGTGTTTTAGGAAAGTTGTTGACGGTGTCGTCCATAAGCGTACGGTATATTGTCACGACGTTACCGAGGCGTCGCCTTGACATCATATTGAGCCATATCTCGGCATCCACCGCGGTCACCACGGGACGAACGAATGCTTGCGCCACAGCTGAGAGCCGTACGAATACAGAGGATGTGGTTTCGAAGCATGTTGTACGGTGTCGTAATTATACCGGTGTCGAAAATAGCATTGCCGTTTGCAAGAATACACGAGAAACGGAAAAGGCGCTATTTCATAACACGAAACATACCTATAAGCAACACCGTTGGTCTCCCACGAAACATGGACATTTGGCAAGCCAGGAAGGTAAAAGTATTTGTTGTGGTGAAATCCTAACAACGATTGGCCATCACATCAATATGTACAAACACAGTCCCGTAGCCAGGGTTTCGCCTGAAGAGCAGATATGGCCTATCTGCTCCTCCGCCTTTTGAGCAGCCGAGCCCCCGTGGATGGGTGTTTCTCTGCACCCACAAGCCCGATTGGGGTGGCCGATGGCTTGCATGATAGCTGTGAGCCATGCAAACACAATGCAAGTCTTCGTAGGGCAAACGACGCCCTCTGCAGATAGAGTTTGGCCTGGTGGAGCAGATATGGCCTGTCTGCTCCATCGGCTTTTGAGTCACTAAGCCCCCGTAGGTGGGCACTTCTCCGCACCCACTAGTCCGATTGGGGTGCCCGATTGCTTGTATGATAGCTGTGAGCCGTGCCAACACGGTGCGTTCAGCGATAGGCGTGGTTCAGCTATGTGACGGGAGGTATGGCGGGACTCATGACGTTTACCCCCCCTCTAGATGCTGCGGACCCCCCTCTGTTGACCATATCTCTGCAGCACCATATCGGATGTGGGCGTCCAATAGCTTGCATGAATGGTATGGACAGCGTTAACACGATTCAAAACGTTTGGGGTCAAATGGAGCTGTGAGGGCGGAGGTGCGAGAAGATTACCACTTCCTGAGATGCTGCGGAACCCCCTTTTCCCAGCATATTTCTGCAGCCTCTAAGGAGGTTGCCAGATAGCTGTACCCGATACCTGCACGATGCAATTGGTTTGAGGTCGATTTGAGCTCTGTGGACGGAGATCTGCCTGGTGGGTCAAACTAGAAGTTTATCCACCGGTGGAGCAAGTAGCATTGCCGTTTCAAAATCCTGCTTGTAGCTCACCGATCTCCATGATACAACGATCGTTGGAAAATCGCGGACCGCTAGTCTGCGGTGCATCGCAAGGGCTACAATCTCAGATGCAAACATTGTACACGAGCGGGGGTCAGCGGACGGTTAATTTGCGATGGAAGTGTCGTACTGGAGTTAGACGATGGAAAACTGAGATATGCTGGCGTTTCCTGGGTTTTTGCAGAGGAGACACTGCGATCCCCCATGCGCCCTTACACGATGCCCGCTGGACAAAAATCACAATTTTGTGACTTTCCTGCTGTGCGTGTGGACACTGTTTCTGCACTCCGCCTGCCCGCAAAGAAGGGTAGGTTGCGACCGTAGAAGGCCTCGTTGTCACTTGGACGATCAAGTGTCATTTCGCATGTGATGGGTAGACACCTGCGTTTTCACGCAGATATTGCTGCATACAACGAAATAGTAACCCTTGATTGTAGTGTTACCACCACGTTACCCTTACATACCTACTAGGGTTTAGGACTGGCCCCTCGCCCCCCAATGGGGCGGGCGGCCATAACGAGACGGATGGCGGTGAGGGTTTGGGAGGAAGTGCAGTAAAGAAGAAGAGGAAGACGACCGTTATAGGGGTGGCGTAAGAAGGGACAGAGTATGGAGACGCGAAGGAAGACAGACGTGAAGACGTTTGCGAAGGGCGAGCGGGCACAGGATGAAGTGTGTAGCGGTCGCCGAGATTGACGGAACGGAAAAGCAGTGATCACATATCTGTATGCAACTCTATGTGCCGTGGTCCTGACTGCTACGAAATTATCGGAAGAGACGTGATACGGACAAGATGACAAGCTCGAACATGGAAAATGTGTAAGGTGTTAATTGAAGGTGGTGCAATGGTTGATGCGTGTAATGCGCTATCACGCTCGCGGGCTCTGTCGAGAGCGTTTTGCACAGGGGAGTGACTCAAGTTCTTTGTAATAGCGAGTGACAGACATGAGCAAGAGGTAAGAAGGGCCTGCTGCGGCAGTAAGCCTATCATAACTACATCAATACATACCTGCGTAGATCTCGGAGATTCGTATCCTACGGAGTACATACACACAACAGTCGTACGTTATCGTCTCCGCAGATCACTCGATTCCTTTCTTCGAAATTCAACTTGAATACAATATGAATACAATGTGTAAACTCGCTGAACCATGACGGATGACGCGCGAACAAATTGTTTCCCCCGAATATTTGTCGGTCTTCTTATTCAACCTGCAATACACATGCATTGCGATGTCAGTGATATGTTCGTGTGCAATGGCCCGACGCACCACCGCCGTGCTGGCGGTGCCTGCTCTGACCGCAGTCGTCTGCGGCGACCAACTTTACTTCAGATATTTCCAAGAATCTTCCTTCACGTGCGCATCGGCCAGCGTCAGTGTGGTTTGGTCATAGGCACAAACCTCCACCACCAGCACCGATATCATTATCATACGGCAGCAGTTCTTCCTGTGCCTGGAGCGTGGGTTTGCTGCGGGAAGGTTTGGCGTCTCAAGCCCCATCACGTGATGCTTGTCGTCGGGATTTATTTCTTAAGCCTGTCGCATTTCTTTAGAATCTAAGAGAACAGGAATTTTTCTTGCGTTTGTTTGCGGAGCCGAGGGTGTGCGAACCTGCGAAATACCGCCGTGGGTGACACAAGGCATCACACCCCCTGGACTGATTTTCAAAGACCGATTAGTCCGCACCATGAAGAGTGACGACGCCAAAGAATGGCGGCGTAGGAGCAATCTCGTTGAGAGCTTTCCGAAACGTATGGTGTGACATGTATATCCTCTTCGTCGTGGATCTTTAGTCATCTACGGTAAAACCACCCTGCAAGATATGCCCGCACCATGTAATTCTCTCTCTACTTCCCCGTCGCAGTGCAGCGTATTGATACCTTGATACCGGCTTTGGTTTCATTTCAGCCACGTCAATGCTCCGTCTCCCTCCACTTACTCCCCCCCCCCCCCCCCCCCCCCCTATGGTCACGTCCTTCCGGCTGCCTGGCGGTTGGGGTGGTCTTGGAAATTCACCGGGCACTTGAAAAAAATGTGGTCCCTTTCAGGGGTTCCCAAAACCACCGCGGAAGGGGTTGCCGGCCTTCAGGGGGGGAAACACAACAAG